CTTGAAAAATATTTTCAAGTCTAAAATATATTGAAATTGCTTGAATAATATTTTCAAGTCTAAAATGTATTGATTCTATGTTAGTTTGGTTCATGTAATTTTGTTTCTAAAGGTTTTTGATATTTCTGTTTTAATTGAGTAGTTTTGCATCAAAGATAATTATTTAAGTCATTTTTACTAAAACTTTAAAATAAATTTATCCACTGAACCACATTTTAGGTACTAGCAATCCATTTTCAGAAATATGAAAAATGTGGTTTCCATTTTTTCTCTTCTATCAGTTTTCCAAGTAATGAGACACAGATTTTGATGGAGTGTTGCAAAAGAAAATCCTTAAATGGTTGAACTCATTTCTTTAGGGTCACCATGTCGACCCTGTGATTTTAAACCCGAAACTAGTCGAATGGAGTACCTAAATTTCTTGTTAAATATATATAGTATGAAAAAATATCCAAATATATTTATTTACGAGAGCAGCAAGATTGTCACCTTCGCATAGAGAGATTTCGTCAGCAGGAACAATGACATTATCATTATCGCCTTTGCGGAGAGGGATTTCGTCTGCGGGAGCAATAAAATTATCGCCTCTGCAAATATGGATTGCGTCAATGAGAGCAGCAAGATTATCACCTTAGGGGRTATTCCGTCGATAGGAGGAGGCGGGCTGCCTCCCTTATAATTCAAAATACTAGGTGCATCTATTGTTGCATYCTGTCAAAAGTGTTCATGGATTTGACCCAAATTTAATAGAAAAGATTATGGCCGTTCAAGTGTGCGATCAACGGACTAGTAGACTTGAACTTTATTCCTACATGACTCGATCAATTTGATTAGACAATCGCAATCTATTTTCGAAAACATAAGTTCAAAAAAAGTGGTTTCCATTTCTCCTATTATGAGTTTTTCCAACCAATGAGCGGTAGATTTTGATGGATCTTTAGAGTCAGCAAACACGACATGCGATTCTAAACTTGAAATTAGTTGAATGAAGTACATAATTTACTTGTTAAAAAAATAAGTTATATATATAATAAAAAATAGAATTACGAAAAAATATATGTTTGGTAATTAATTTTTRGTTCGTGTTTTTTCAAATTTTTTAATTAGAAAAATACAAAATTTATGTGAAAATTAATATTAAGTATTCAAATTTTTTATGTTAGCTATTTGTTTTATTATTATGTATTTTATAAGTACAACATAATGTTTTTATTTAACTTAAATGAAAAAGCTATGAACAAAAAAAAACAATGAAATTTGGATTTGTTATTTTTAAAATGTATACACAATTAAAAAATGTTTCTTGAAAATAAGAAATAGGAATAGTTAGAATGTTTATAGTTCTTCAAAACTAGAAATGGTAAGGTTATCCCATACATCCTATAAAATTAATTAATTTTTTAATATAATAAAAATTGAGTTGGAGGATTGAACATTTATGCACTCTACTCAAATTGAATTATTTGAACTACATCCTTTTGTGTCTAAAATATATTGGGGAAATTTGGAAAAAAAGCGTTTTTCACAGGTTTTTTTAGTTTTTTAATCACCTTTTTCAAAATATAAGTTTTCTAGGCATTTGATGATATTTGTGAAATTATGTGTTTATTCTTCTCCTCATTTTTCTCTTTCTCATTCTTCAAGATCAACTTCTCTCTCTATCTTTCTTCCTCGTGCCCCTCCCCCATTCTTCTTCTCTAAAATTATACGGAATATGTCACTTTCTTATTCCCTCCCTCTCTTTTCATAATTTTCTTCTTCCCTCCCACCTCCTTGATTTTCATTTATCTTTTTCTCAAAATCCCAGTTGAGAAGTTTAGATTTTTCAAAATATTTAGTAAATCTCAAAGAAGACGATGACGAGGGAGGAGATGTTGCTGGCGCAAACTTGAGACCCACCGTCGAAGAAGAATATCACCAAACGCCTGGAAGACAGAGGGGGAGAGGGAAGAACGGGAGAGAGCGAGAGATGAGGGAGAGAGGGAAGAACGGGAGAGAGCAAGAGAGGGAAGAGAGAGAATTGAATTGCTAACTTAATTTAATTACTTAAAATCTATTTATAGAATGAATAATTATTGAATAAATTTCATAAATTATTGAATTAATTATTAATAAAATTTGGTTAATTTATCGGAAAACATAAACAAAATTAAATATAAATAAATAAAATGTTGGGTCAAATACAAATTCAAAATGATTAACAAATAATATTAAAGATTTTTAATTTTTTTTTAATTAAAAATTTGAAAATTAGAATTAAGGAAAATAGAATCTCATTCTCCTTAATTTGAGTCCAATCATATTCAAATTTGAAATTTAAATCAAATTTGTTCATGATTTTTTTTCTTCCTTAAAATCTCTCCTTTCATTTTCTAAATTAATAAAACTCCAGCAAACTCAAAATAAAAAATAAGATCACATCTTAAAATTACGTTAAAAAACCTACCATTGCACGATCTTCAATTTTAATTATTTTCCCTCAATTTGACTTTCCACATCAAGTAGAAA